CCCCCCCACCCAGTGACTGGGCGCACCGGTGTGACCGGAAATATTTTAAAGGCTCACTATTAAAAAAAAATAAGGTCGCAATTAGTCGCTCTGTAGAACCCTGCAGCTCTATCAGGTTCTCTGAATGTTTCTCAGATTAATGCCGTCCTAACCTGGTCTAAGTTTCTCTATGACCTTCCCTTGACAGGTTTGCTGTGTGGTATCAGTTTAGAATTTAGATTTATTTAAATCAAGTTTCACACATAAACAGTTGTAAAAATGACCCAGGGAGAGGCAGACATGAACTGTATTTCCTCCTCACTGTGTTTGAGCTGATATTRAGATGGTCCTTATCCCTGGTGTCACACAGACATTCTCCACTGGACAAGTCCCCCCACAGCAGCCACACGGAGTTCAAGCAGCCGTTGCTTCTCGAGCCTCCTAACATGCCTCCACCTCCATCACTTCAAGATCCACCATGGCCACATGGAGCTCCTCCTGCTGGCAGGCCTTCCCTCAGCGACAGGCAGCCCACACAGAAGAAGGAGTCAGCTCAGGCCTCTGCAGTGACGGCTCATCGGATTCCCAGACCCTACAACAAAGTGGCCTCCAGTGAGTTACATGTACACACAATACAGTGTCAGACAGACCTACGGCAGGGCCTTTAGATTTATTCAGACACATTTTAAAAAGAATTTGAAATCAACTAAATATACATTGCATTGTTAGTAAAGATGCACACATTTTCTTGTCTGCTTTTGTTTTGGGTGAAATTTGAACCTGTCTATTTTGGTTTCTCTTAAGGCCCTGTCACACTATAAAGTTTTAGACAAATTATGTCAACTTCTGAACATTTAAAAGACTTCTTTGTTGAAGATGGAATTAAAACAATCAGCTGGTAGCCTGTTTTAGGTGTGTACATACTGTAATGCTAACAAATAAGAAATATCTAACTTTACTGGTAATTTAGACATAAAAATTTCATCAGGTGTCCAACATGTTAACATGTGACAGGGCCTTTAGACCTAGGGTTGATAACAAACAACAGTACCAATTTCTAGTTCACTTGAGAATCTGACATTGTTTATATTAAAATTAGTGCCTGGCAACTCACGGGCGCTCCCATGAACCCGACCGAGCTGCCGCTGGGGCAGAAACGTGGTGGAAGTCACAAGATTCTTCAAGATATTTTTTATTTTAAAACTTTTCACGACAGTGAGCTTGAAAGAAGTAAAGTTCTCTGTAAACTCTGGAACAATAAACCGTCTCACCACTGGAGCAGTTTGAGTCTGAAATATCACTTCAGTTTTAAACCAGTGTAGTCAAACAGAGGGAAGTTCACAGATGATGTTGACCAGCATCTTAGAGGAGAAAAAAAGAAAAAGTAAGACCAGCTTGCTTRGCCTTATTTGTTTAAAGTTTTAAAAAATGTATTGCCCTTTTTTTTAAATAT